TTACTGAAAAAATAATAAATAACGCGAGTAAAAAGTAACGCGTTACAAATTAATAGAAAAAGTTATTTTTTTCAATAAACTTTTTCAATCCGTTACCAATATAAGAATGCACCGGATCGTAAAATTACCGGATAGCAGGATATCCGGACAGAATGTAACATTGGTACAGAATGTAACATTGATAACATTATCTAGTATCCAATCGGATATCCGAAAAGGCAATTTCTTCGAATCGGATATCCGACATTTTCCGACCAGATTCTAGACAAATGTCTTCTAAAAAAAGAAAGGGAATCTTTTAGAGAAAAAAATTGTAATTTTGCAACAATGTATAACATATTATAGCACCATGAATATGCATACTTATTTCTAGAACATTTGTATAAAAAAAAATCAACAATTTAATGATATCAAATTTCAATCGAATATATTTCCAGATACTAATGATTCGACTATCTGGTCGGATAGTAAAAAAGTGCTAAATAAGATCTGATACCGGATATCCGGACAGAATGCAACATATTTTCCCGATATCCTGCATCCTTATAGTTTCAAGTAACGATTGACTTTTTTAACTCTGATATTACCATTATCGTTATAAAAAAATCACAATGTAATTACCAAATCATTGTTACAACAAGCTAATGATCAACAAAGGCGTTATAAGTAACGCGTTACTTGCCAACCCTGGATATACGTGTAAGTTTCAATGGTACAAATTAATATAAATTCAGTTCTGTTTGTCTTTATCCTTTTCTTTATGAAAAGATTCCTGTACAATTTTATTTAAAAATGCCAATTAAAAATATTACGCCAATATATATTTTACCATCTAATTTGCTGCAGCAGCCAATCTTTTTTTTCACCCTGTATATAGCTAGTATATTGACGTCACTAACATGTAGATTGAAAGTATATACGAATAAGGTTTAAAGAGAAATAAAATATAAACTATTAACTTACTTTCAATAGTACAAATTAGTATGAATTCAGTCTTGTCAGTCAGACCTCAAAAATACGTCCTTTAGAGGAAATGTGGGAGTTATGATACATCTTATATAAAACTGTATAGTTGTTACTTTTATGGTTGTTAAAACTATAAAATAGTATTTTACTGTATATAATGTTGTACGCTCATTATAGGACTCGGTAAAATAACTAATGTGACTTATTTAAAATAAAAAATAAAAAATAAATTCCAGAAATTTATTTAAAATATAAAATCATAGGTCAGTAAAATCATTGATATTTATTTGAAATAAGAAATGTAAAATAGGTTCCATAAGACTTGTTTAAAATATTAAATAAGGAATAGAAATTATTTAAAATACAAAATAAAAAATAGGGCCCGAAAATATATTTATTTATTTAAAATATAGAATAACTCTTATGTAAAATATAAAAATAACTTGTATTTTATTTTAAATAAGTTTTCGAAGGTTATTTCTTATTTTAAATAAAAAATATATTTCGGAAACTTACTTAAAATATAAAGTAACAAATATGTATTTTAAATAAACGTTTCAAATAGCATTTAAATAAAAAAATATTTTAATGATTTTGTTTATACGAATACATTTCTAAATAAAGTTTCAGTTTTTTTTATAGCTAAAATTGATACTTATTAAATATAATATTATTCACGAACCAAATGGAAAATTAACATAGATCTTATGTGAATATATCTCATACTCCACAACATGCAATATGTCATCTTAAATATAATTTAATTACTCACTGTCATTTTTACCGACGGATTGGTAACATAACTGATACAATTTATTTAAAATAAAAAATATAAAATAGATAAAAAATTATTTAAAATTCACAATCGATAAAAAACTGATACAACTTATTTAAAATAAAAAATATAAAATAAGTTCCAAAAACTTATTTAAAATATTAAATAAGAAATAGGTCAAAAGAAGTTATTTGTAATAATAAATAATAAATAATAAATAACTGTTTAATTTTATTTTATTTAAAATATATTTTAAAATAAATTTATATGAAATAAGGCCGAGCCCTGATTGTACGTATAAAATTGTATTATATGCTGTTATCTTTATAGTTACCACAAATATGTATTTTTCACTGAGTAGTCACCTAACTTCTCATAAACAAATCATCATATCAATAATGCTACTTATGTTTTGTAAGTGCTTTGAGCTAAATTAAATATCATTTTAGATCTAAAGGAATAGATCTATCTCAGAGAAGAAAACTTCCAACAGTAAAATAAACATTCTGCTGAATGCGTTGATTATTACTGATCGAAGATCTCGATCTTCGGCGTAACTCGCCGGATCGCGTAAAAGAACACAGTAATGTCTCGCGCCATGACGCTTCGCTTGCTTAGACCTGTTATATAATAGAGCCGCAAATCATAAGCCACAAAAAATTGATCAATCGCAGATAAACATGAGAAAAATAATCAACTACGACTGGTTAATTTCTTACGGCTTGCAGCTTACGACCCTATTGTGTAAGTCCGCAAACGCAATACAATAATAAGCTTTAAGTCTTAAGGAATTGACCAATCATAGTCGATTATTCTAACATTCAATACTCACTGTGATTGATCAATTTCTTAAGGTTTAAGGTTTATTATTCTCTATTGTGTTTGCGGACTAACAGGCCTTAGCGCCAAAACACACACTGTCGTATCTTCAGAAACTAGAAAAGTAGAAATAAGTAGATTACATAAATTGCATAAATTGTTTATGGTTTTCAAGTGTATTTAAATATTATCGCACAGCGGTACGTGGATCCTTTTACGAGCACATTTATAGTCAATGAGCTTTATCAAATGAAGTTTCCTGATCCTGAGAGCCATAACGCTCTTTAATCAGTTTCGGAAAGAAGAAGAAGAGAAAGCAAACGATCGTACGAATTCTGCAGCAAAATGAGCGCTGGTGCGTCAATAAATCTTAAAACATTATTCGATGCGAAAGAGAGAGAGAGAGAGAGAGAGAGAGAGAGAGAGAGAGAGACGAAGCGAGCAAGCCCTTTTGGTAGACGTATTGCAGAACGGAAGTTGGCAGCCTGGCACTAAAGAGACACATTTATGTCTTCCCAGGAGTGCGTTAGCTAGCTGGCTAGACAAGCTGGCCGACCGTTCAACCGACTCCAACTCTCGTCAGCGATCTCCCTTTTGCCATCCTTGATGTTAACCAGGGCCGGTCAACTTCGCCAGTTCGTTTCTCTCAAACTCAAGCTCGATTCCTCTGTTAATCCGTGCTAATCGAATAACCGCATATATAAGCGTATGTCGAATTCGCGGAAACTTTGTTAGCCATTAGGAAAGCGGTAATCCTCCAATTATTGCGCAGTCATCAGGGAGCTCGGTGGTTGAGTGAGCCGGACATTGCAAAGTCTCGCGAATTTCCGGAGAAATAAGAGTCGGCATTTCCGCAAAATTTTCTCGCTAACGGGTCAAATTCTCAATGATATTATAAGCTTAATAAAAAACACTCCTATCTATTATTAACCTGAAAAATAGATATAGATGAAATTTTCATAGAATGAAAGAGATAATATTTAATCTATTTCTTTCGTGAATGATAAAAAATATTGTAATTATTCAATAATGATCGCTTTTGAATTTAACAGATCTATTTGCGTAGTGTGTCTGTGGTCCTTATGGAGTTAACGAGGACTAGTCTATCCATGCTGTGGAGCCAGCGAGAGATTAGTCAACTTAAGTCGGCTCAATCTCTCAGTCCCTTACCAAAGCTTTGGCAGTTACAAGGTAATCGAATTACAGAGAGCATATGTCGAATGCATGAGAGCCATTGTATGTATCTATGACTCACGGACCGAGAGAGAGAGAGAGAGAGAGAAGATGAGAAATTGAGAGCATTATCTATTCGCTACTAAGCCGCAAGGAAACCCGATTTCTCCAGAATTTCGCATTAGCACATTTACGTTTTGCATTGAAAACATTCGCTCCCTTACTTCAAAATGATACTTAAAAAACGTGATTTTTAAATTATTATCATAAATGAGACAGAAGTAAATATATTATCTTATAAATCATCAAAAAACGATTAATTTAATTCATCAAAAATCGTCAAAACATTATAAATTCAAAAGAGTGATTTTTAAAAAATCGTCAAAATTGTCGCAATTCAAAAAGGAGTTTTTTTTTAAGAATTGTAAAATAAAAATAATAATAACATTTATATAACAAGAATAACATTTAATTAATCGTATTAAGAATATAATTCATTTTGCCGATATTATTTGATTAGTCAATAATTTTCTGTCAAGTTAAAATATTTTTCCACTTTTCTGAGAAATTTTATCTAATTTTTTTAATTATACATCACTTTTGAAGTAAGCAAGCAATGTATAACAAGAAATGAAAGATCTAATAAACATTTCCAGCGATTTGGAAGAAAATTAAATTCGTCCTGACTTTCTCAAATCGTACAAAATGGGTCAAGCATCTCTGCGCCGAAGCTTTCAACCTTGCTTGAAATTCGCAAAAAGAATTGGATATACTGAAAACTTCGACCTAAATGCATCGAAGATGTTTCGAAGCAACTCTCGGGCCCTTCGAGCATAAAAGCGATGGTTTCCTTCTGAGGTCAATTCTACTTTATACTTATCCCTTCAAAGCGGGAACCTTTCTCTTTTCGAGAAACCGAACGCTGTAATTCAAAGTTTCTTGTAAAGTCTTCTTAAATTAAATCCTTCCATCTTTAACTTGCTATTTGAGGATCTTATCTACAAATTTCCTATCAAATGGGCAATCTCTAATGCAAAAAGGAACAACTCCTTTTTATCACATGATAGAGCGCCTATTAGGATCTAAGAATCATCATCTTTATATGGATCTTTATACGGAAGGCGACTTAATCGTTTTAAAACGAAAAGATAATTAAAATTGGAAATTCAATCAAGGTAAGTGTCAAATTATAAGAATCTTGTTTGTCAAATATGTGACACATTACGTATATGATCTATTTGAAACTTAACGAATAAGCATGACTTACCGCTATCAAGACTATTCTGATTTTCTAGATCAGGGCCTTGGACAGAAGTTGACCTGCCATCCTGCAAACAATCTGAAACATTAAACATTGTTATGATTAGTCTAATTATTCCAACTTTCTTAATTAATTTAAATCATTAAAAATGATTGATTTACAAGATTTCTGTTTCTTGTTATCAAATAGTGATACAGCTCATGTATTTTTAGTCGCTGAAAAAATAATAGGTTAAAAAAGTTTCATTATAATCAGATATTGAGAAATCATAGACTTTATTTTTGAAAAAATTCTACAAATTCAAATAATATACAATTTTCTTTTTACTTATGTTACGGAGTAACATACACAAGAATTACTATTCAGGTGTTGAGAAATAGATATCATTTTGTAAATCACTTTTTAATATTAAATATAACTGATAAATTTATTTTAACATATTACTTAAAATTGTTTATAAACAAAATAAGTTATAACATGACATTTATTTTCATATTTAAGAGGATATTGGAGTAATTAAATTGTCGAGATATTGCAGATCAATAAAAATCTCCGAATCTCCGACTGAACGAAATAAAAAATCCTTTTGCAGAATTAAAATAGAAGCAAAATTTAAAGGTGTTGCAGTGGATTTATACTAAACTTTAAAAAACTTTAAAAAAAGTTAAAACTTACATTTTATCAACTCGTAGAGCTATCACTTGATGTAGATGTTTCCTTAATATACAAGTTTTATAGCTCGTATCATGGTTAATAAAATGAAGCACACTCTCTTGGATGCGTAGCAAGAGAGTGAATTTGGGTAACGTTTGATTGGCTGTTCCAGTATAACCAGTACTATTATATGCAGGAAAGTGCATATTGAGGAACATTTGATTGATTATTTCCAATAATGCTATCGTATGTGTAATGTTTCATCTTATTAATTCCACTATGGCTTGTATGGATAAAACGACAGTGTAGCATCCAGCGTATTACGTGCACAAACTGAGTTTATGGAACTAAGATTAAAGAATTAAAAGAGAGATTTATATTGTTCTGCAAATTATGTATACATATGCCTTATAACAAAAAGAATAATAAACAAAGCAATAATTGTGTCTAGCAGGAAGCGATATTGGAGATTCGGCGTTGCAATATGTTAAATAAGGACAGATGTATATTAAGTGAGACAGAACAATAATATAGGAAATGAATTAAAAGTGTCATTTATTATTGACTTCTTTTATTTAGAATTAAAAAAGTCTGTTCTATCAAGTCAATCAAGTTCAGCCGTTCACTCCAGCATTGCCTTAAAAATATTTAAATTTTATTTGATTATGTAATATATATGTATATATATATTACGAATTGGCGTTATTATATAAAAAATATTAAGCGAAGTTTTTAAAAATTAAAGAGTGATGCGGTTTTTTAAAAACATATTCTTTTTCAGTGTAAATCTATAAGAAACACTTAACTTTAAAAAACAAAATATTGATTAAAATTTATTGTTTAGTGTTATTTAAAAAAATGCCTCGAATTTTTGAAAGCTCGTGGCGATCTTGAGAAGATTCGTACATCTCCACAAAACTCACGTTTAAAAATTAAGATTCAGATTTGACGAAGGTGTCTTCGTGGTTACATCAATCTCGTCGCGTTCCGTCTAGCCCAGCATCGAGATCCGCGTATCTATAACCTGCCAGGATCTTAATAGGGATTCCGCATTGAAATTTCATGGGATTTCGAGCGATCGAGCGGAACGAGTTTGAAGATACGCTACGTGCGGCCTATGTGCCGCAGATGATGCTGCTTGCGCGCGGACGCGAATAATACAGGAAAGGGTGGAAAAGAGCGGTATGGCGTTGATCCCGCGGGAGTCATACCCCGGTGATATTGGCTCCCACAGCCCATTCCTGCACATAGGAGACCCAGCCGCCTTGGACCAACATATCCAATCGCGCGCGTGTACATCACACAAACACATATACGTATATGAGAGGAAGACCGGCCAAAATTCAAATTTCCCATCGGAATACGTGCGACTTTAAACACAACTTGCGGGAAACAACCGCGGCAACCAAAACACACTGGTTCGTATTGATAATCGAACTACGGCGTTCACTTCAATATGATGGAAAAAAATTACACCGCACGTCTTCATGACATTAGTAATATCATATCGAGATAGCTCATTAGCTGAGTCGATGTGTATTTTAATTAGCGCGCGCGCGCGCGCAAACACACACACACACACACACACACACACACACATATTCGCGCGCGCGCGCACACAATACGCACGCACACATCAATGATAAAATATTTGCGCATTTCATACCTACTTTTTACATGGTCTAAGTTTTGATGAAAGCGCCGTAGATAGAACGATCTAAACTGATTATGAACCGCAAAATTACAAGAGACAATTTTTATTTATTTTCTTCTCATAGAACTTCGAGAACTTTTTCAGAATTTTTTATCAACTTTTTAGTATTGCATTTTCTTATTGGCAACTATTTTTTTATCAACATGAAAAAAAACGGTATTAAAAAATGTTGAAAAAATTCTGAAAAAATTCTCAGGATTTTATGAAAAAAAAATAAACAATGAATAAAAAATTATTGAAAACCAATATTTAATAATTAATATCTTGTTAACTATTGCGAAAATTGCAAAATAGTAGAGGACTTTTTGATTCAGTTTAGTTCACTTTATACACATGAGCGTTTTTATCAAAACTTATTGGATACTCTAATGTGTGTGCTCAC